TTAGGCTTTCTGCTCATTGGTCGTCCAATCATAGTTGAGTCATAGTTATCGTCATGAAGCAACGATTACATGACGATTACACTTCTGCACACTTGGTCGTGATATTTCAATTCATTTGGCGTCTAAAAATTCACTTGGAGCTGGTATTTTCTGTTTTTTTTGGTTGATATTTTCGCGAAATATTTACAAAAACCTGCAATTTTTTAAATATAGACTGTGCTGCAACATTTTTAGACGTAATTTTCCAGTAATATCTCTTCTTTTCTTTTCCTGGAATGTGTTTTGTGTATGCACACAGAGACTTAATACAATTTCGTCATATTTTATAGTTAAAACGCTCATATTTATTAAATTTTAATGCAATTATCCACTTTTTAATAATTTCCACAGATTTTATGCAAAAAAATATTAATTTTTATACAATTTTAATGCAAATATTAACTTTTTCACTAATTTTCCCCCATAAAATGTAAACAAACAATGCGTGCACAATGCGTACTTATCCGTTTCTGCATCTTCTACGATTTGCCGATAACTAGCCGATAACGACAAGTGTGCAGATCTCCTTTGAAATGCATGTGCTCGGCTCAAAATTTCAGGGCGAGACGATAACGCAACTATGATTGGACGACAAGTGTGCAGATAGCCTTATTCAGCTCTTTCTCGACCGCTTTAGCTCCAAACGAAATTTTTCTGGCAACACTGGCAAATACTATAAATAAGATTTTAAGCCATTATAAGCACCCTGTTCATGGCTGTCACTGCAGTGTTGCCACTTTGGTTAATTCCTGAAAACGTGACGAATTTCGGGTGCCCTTGAGTATTTTTTTAGGATTTTTCTATTTTGAGTAATTTTCTGGGAATGTTCTCTCGATATATAAGTACATCTGCATTTGCTGCTAAATATTCAAAATGTTATCGATAATTTTTTTTTATTTCCATCGTTATCTTTTCAACTTATGTGTTTTGAACTTGCAAAATCGCGGTAAGAGTGCTTTTACATATTTCAAGTATTGAATTCAATTCTGCTCGCATGTGGAAGAGTGGGGTGAGAAGAAAAGGGACGAATGCGTCTGTACCGTCAAGACGTTTCAACTAGGATTGACTTGAAAACCAGATTGAGCACTAATGATGGATGCAGCACTGAGTTGCAGCAATATTATATACAAACCAAGGCATAAACAACAACGGTGATACTTTGTTTGAACCGCACCAACAACGGCACCAATTTAATTAAATAATGTAATTAATTTTTAAACTAAGTACCTGTAAATAGAATGCAGTACACAATACTCATATCAGTAATAAGAAAATTTTGAGTAATTTGTTCGGATTTTGGGGATTTTTCATTTGGTTTTGAGGAATTTGGTAAATTTTTGTGGCAACACTGTGCCACTGGTATTTCAACACAAGTTTTTTATTATTTATTTACAAATTGGTTATGGCTGAACAACATAAGTAAGTTTGTTTATTATAAATAAAATGCTAAATTAAATTAAAAATAATTGCACGGAGTTGCACATGTATTTATGCTTACGAGCGGAGACGTATTTCGTCGATAGTGCACGAGGCGGAAAAAGAAACAAGATGACGCAGAACCTATGAAAAGTGGCTGCCAATTTGTTTCGCGCGAGTTTGTAAAAAAAACTAATCAAACTGTATCCATAAAACTTGTGCCAATTATACAAGTTTATTCATATTCGTTTATTCATGTATAAAATTTCCATTCCATTATAACTTATCATGCCCGTGTATGTATTACCTATTTTAAAATTTGTATCATTTCAGATTGATCTATCCCATCAAGCATTTTCGTGATTTTCTCGAAAATGATATCCGCCTAGACGGTCGCGCCTTTGATAAATATCGCCCGATTGGCGTGAATATTGACTCATTTCAACATTCATTAGGGTCGAGTGCAACAAAAATTGGAAATTCGAATATTCTATGTGGCATACGCGCAGAGTTATCAAAGCCGCGTGCAGCTACACCACTAGCTGGCTACATTGTACCCAATGTAGATATGTCATTTACATCGTTTTCTAAAGCTGCAGCATCGAGTAATAATCAAAATGTTGCCGAAATATTGGAATGTTTTATATATAGGATTTTAAATGAATCCCATTGCCTGAAATTGGAAGATCTGTGCATATTCCCGGGCAAGCTTGTATGGTGTCTTTATATAGATATCATTGGTTTGGAAGTTGATGGTGGCGTATTCGATGCTTCAATTTTGGCTTGCGCTTCAGCACTTAGCACGCTCAAACTGCCTAAAGTTGTATATGATGAAAAAAGTGGGAAAATAGAAATAGGCGACGAAATGAAGGAATTGCCTTTGAATATCTTTCCCGTGGTTAGCACATACAGCATGTTTGACAAGTGAGTATATGCATATCGCTGCTTTACAAACCATGTAACTCTATCTAACTATGTATATTGTACAAATATTCTTAGTGTTGTGCTGGTAGATCCTACTTATCGCGAGGA